CAGCGTTCTAAATGCAACTCACAGTAGGGTTCATAAACGCATGCTGAGTTCAGCCGGCTTGTGCACGAATACGGCTCCGACTGGTGAGGAGCCCGAGTCTGTGAAGGCTGAGCTCATCTGCGCGTCTTCACCTTCCCTCTCCCAGGATATGGGGCTGAGCAAACGCACTGGGAGCGCCTAGAAGGCAGGCACCAGGTTTTTAACCCAAATTTTATCTCCAACCCTGACTTCTCACAGAAACCAACTGCCCACCAGACAGCTCCACTAAAATATGTTCTAGACATCTCAGATTTATACGTTTAGGGGATTCCGCCCACCCATAATCTTGCTTTTTGCCTTCCCCCATCTCCCCATCTCGGTAAATGGCATCCATCACCTTCTCTAAAACCTCATATTTTTTTCCTCTTTAGAATTGAGATGTATTTTAAATGCCATAAAATTCACCCTTAATTTTAAAGTGTACAATTCACTGATTTTTAGAAGAGTTCAGACTTTTACAATCATCACCACAATCAATTTGAGAACATTTTTGTCACTCTAGGAAGAAACTTGAGTGGGGAAACTGAGGCCACAGGTCTCCTTCAGACAGGAGGCTTGAGGCATAAAAAATTCACTGGATTTCATGGCTGATTCTTGTTTCTGCTTTGATGTCAGGAAGGTCAAGCCTCCAATAGGAGAACCAACATGCAGCAGTGATGAGATGTGTGTTTTTTCATCTTCCCACATCAGGTCAGGAAGGAGCACTTTGGTTCCATGTTCTGGTTTCAGTTTCTCCAATTGCAGGAAGGAAGTTACCTGGCTAAGCAGGGGTTCAAAGCTCTGATGCAAAGGTTTGCTCTTGGAAGAGGTAGTGCTTAAGAAGCTCGGTGCCTGGCATGAGGAGGAAGTCAGGAAACTCCTCAGCGTCCTCCAAGGGAGATCTGAGTATCTGGCATTTTCTTCATGAAGGAGATTCAGAATACACTGCTCTCACCTAACTTCAGCACTTTGGATTCCAAAGGCCCCCAAGCAGGGAATCTGGCCTAATTTCATGTTCTACCCAACACTAATGGCTGAGTTTCTGCCAAGTCATAATGCATAACTTTGAAAATGGACTTTAGGAACCTCAGTGACCCATTG